CTGCACCCCTCGCGGTCCTGAGTTCCTTGCTCCTGCTCCGTCTCCTTCTGCTCCTAATTTGGACCTTGAGATTTCTGTCCGGTGCTCCAATGTGGGTCTCTGTCTCTGTCTCCTTTCATCGCCTGATGAAGGTTAATATTCATGAGGATGCCTATGTGTTTGTCTTTGGATTCACCTTCTTATTTAGCTTCTCTAGGAACATGAATTATAAGCTCAATGTCCTTTATTTATGTCTAGAAACCAAATATGAGTGAGTACATCCCATGTTCCTCTTTTTGGGTCTGGCTTACCACACTCAGGATAGTGTTTTCTATTTCCATCCATTTGTATGCAAAATTCAAGAAGTCCTTGTTTTTTACTGCTGAGTAATACTCTAATATGTATATATTCCATACTTCCTTCATCCATTCTTCCTTTGAAGGGCATCTAGGTTGTTTCCAGGTTGGCTATTACAAACAATGCTGCCATGAACATAGTTGAGCATATAGTTTTGTTGTATGATAGGGCCTCTCTTGGGTATATTCCCAAGAGTGGTATTGCTGGATCCAGGGGTAGGTTGATCCCGAATTTCCTGAGAAACTGAAACACTGCTTTCCAAAGTGGTTGCACAAGTTTGCATTTCCACCAGCAATGGGTGAGTGTACCCCTTTCTCCACAACCTCTCCAGCAAAGGCTATCATTGGTGTTTTTTATTTTAGCCATTCTGACAGGTGTAAGATGGTATCTTAAAGTTGTCTTGATTTGCATTTCCCTGATCGCTAAGGAAGTTGAGCATGACCTTAAGTGTCTTTTGGCCATTTGAAGTTCTTCTGTTGAGAATTCTCTGTTCAGCTCAGTGCCCCATTTTATAATTGGGTTGATTAGCCTTTTGCGGTCTAGTTTCTTGAGTTCTTTATATATTTTGGAGATCAGACCTTTGTCACTTGCGGGGTTGGTGAAGATCTTCTCCCAGTCAGTGGGTTGCCTTTTTGTCTTAGTTACAGTGTCCTTTGCTTTACAGAAGCTTCTCAGCCTCAGGAGGTCCCATTTACTCAATGATGCCCTTAGTGTCTGTGCTGCTGTGGTTATACGTAGGAAGTGGTCTCCTGTGCTAATGTGCTGTAGAGTAATTCCCACTTTCTCTTCTATCAGGTTCAGTGTGTTCGGACTGATATTGAGGTCTTTAATCCATTTGGACTTGAGTTTTGTGCATCGTGATAGATATGGATCTATTTTCATTCTTCTACAGATTGACATCCAGTTTTGCCAGCACAATTTGTTGAAGATGCTCTCTTTTTTCCATTGTATACTTTTAGCTCCTTTATCGAAAATCAGGTGTTCATAGGTTTGTGGGTTAAAGTCAGGGTCTTCTATTAGATTCCATTGGTCGACTTCTCTGTTTTTATGCCAATACCAAGCTCTGTAATAGAGTTTGAAGTCAGGGATAGTAATGCCTCCAGACAATCCTTTATTGTATAAGATTGTTTTGGCTATCCTGGGTTTTTTGTTTTTCCACAGAAAGTTGATTATTGTTACCTCAAGGTCTGTGAAAAATTTTGTTGGCATTGTGATGGGGATTGCATTGAATCTATAGATTGCCTTTAGTAGAATTGCCATTTTTTTACTATTTGATCCAACCTATCCAGGAGCATAGGAGATCTTTCCATTTTCTTGTGTCCTCTTCAATTTCTTTCTTCAAAGACTTCAAGTTCCTGTCAAATAGATCTTTCATTTCTTTCGTTAGTGTTACCCAAAGATACTTCATGCTATTTGTGGCTATCGTGAAAGGTGATGTTTCTCTGATTTCCATCTCTGCTTCTTTATCCTTTGTGTATAGGAGGGCTACTGGGGTTTTTTTTTTTTTGAGTTGATCTTGTATCCTGTCACATCACTGAAGGCATTTATGAGCTGTAGCAGTTTTCTGGTAGAGTTTTTGGGGTCACTTATGTACACTATCATATCATCTGCAAATAATGAAAGTTTGACTTTTTCCTTTCCAATTCGAATCCCCTTGATCTCAATATGTTGTCTTATAGCTATTGCTAGAACTTCAAGCACTATGTTGAAGAGATATGGAGAGAGTGGACAACATTGTCTTGTTCCTGATTTTAGTGAAATCGCTTTGAGTTTCTCTCCATTAATTTGATGTTAGCTGTTGGCTTGCTGTATATTGTTTTATTATATTTATTATTATTTTATATGATCCTTGTATCCCTAATCTCTCCAAGACCTTTATCATAAAAGGTGTTGAATTGTATCAAATGCTTTTTTGGCATGTAATGTAATGATCATATGGCTTTTTTCTTATAGTTTATTTATATGATGAATTACATTGATAGATGTTCGTATGTTGAGCCAGCCCTGCATCTCTGGCATGAAGCCTACTTGATCATAATGGATAATTTTTTGATGTGTTCTTGGATTCGGTTTGCCATTTTTTTATTGATGTTCATGAGTTGATTGGTCTGTAATTCTCTTTCTTGTTTGAGTGTGTGGTTTTGGTATCAAGGTAACTGTAGCTTCATAAGAAGAGTTTGACAATGGCTCTTCTGTTTCTATTATGTGGAACACATTAAGAAATATAGGTATTAGCTCTTCTTGGAAGTTCTGGTAGAATTCTGCATTAAAACCATCTGGCCCTGCTCTTTTTTGGGGGTGGGGGTTTTGATGACAGCTTCTATTTCCTCGTGACTTATAGGGCTATTTAAATTGTTCACCTGGGTCTTGATTTAATTTTGGTATATTGTATTTATCTAAAAAATCCATTTCTTTTGTATTTTCCAATTTTGTGGCTTATAGGCTTTTGTAGTAAGACCTAATAATTCTCTGAATTTCCTCAGTGTCTGTTGTTATGTCCCCCTTTGCGTTTCTGATCTTGTTAATTTGCATGTTCTCTCTGCCTTTTGACTAGTTTGGATAAGGGTTTGTCTATTTTGTTGATTTTTTTTTTGAAATTTTATTTATCATGTGTACAACATTCTGCTTCCCATATACCAAAAGAGGGCGCCAGATCTCATTAAAGATGACTGTGAGCCACTATGTGGATTCTGTGAATTGAATTCAGGACCTCTGGAAGAGCAGTCAGTGCTCTTAACCTCTGAGCCATCCCTCCAGCCCTTTTGTTGATTTTCTGAAAAAACAAAAAAACAAAAAACAAAACAAAACAAAACAAAACAAAAAAACCCCAAAAACTAGCTCTTTGTTTCATTGATTCTTTGTATTGTTTTCTGTGTTTCTATTTAGTTGATTTCAGCCATCAGTTTGATTATTTACAGTCTTCTACTCCTCCTGGGTAAGTCTGCCTTTTTTTTTTCTAGAGCTTTCAGGTGTGCTGTTAAGTCTCTGGTGTGAGCCTTCTCCATTTTCTTTATATGGGCACCTAGTGCTATGAACTTCCTTCTTAGCACTGCTTTCATGGTGTCCCATAGGTTTGGGTATGTTGTGTCTTCATTTTCGTTGAATTAAAGGAAAACTTTAATTTCTTTCTTAATTTTTCCTTGACCCAGGAGTGGTTCAGTAGTTGACTGTTCACTTTTCACAAGTTTGTAGGCTTTCTGGGGGTTGTATTGTTGTTAATTTCTAACTTTACTCCATGGTGAGCCGATAAGACACAGGTGGTTTACTCCAATTTCTTTGTATTTGTGGATGTTTGCTTTGTTACTAAGTCTGAGATCAGTTTTTGAGAAGGTTCCACGAGGTGCTGAGAAGATGGTTTATTTCCTGTTTGGGTAGAATGTTCTATAGATGTCTGTTAAGTTCATTTGACTCAATACATCTATTAGTTCTCTTATTTCTCTGTTAAGTTTCTGTCTGGTTGACCTGTCCATCTCCTACTATTAGTTTGTGGGTTTAAGTTCTAGTTCTTTTGCATATGTGGGTGCTTTTATATTAGGGACATAGATATTCAGGATTGAGACTGCATCTTGATGAATTGTTCCTGTTATGAGTTTAAAGTGTCCTTCTTCATCTCTTCTGATTGATTTTAGTTTGAAATCAATTTTGTTAGATATTAGGATAGCCACAACTGCTTGTTTCTTAGTTCTGTTTGATTGGAAAACCTTTTCCCAGCCCTTTACTCTGAGGTAGTGTCTGTCTTTGAGGTTGAGGAGTGTTTCTTGTAAACAGCAGAATGTTGGATCCTGTTTTTGTATCCATTCTGTTAACCTGTGCCTTTTTATAGGTGAATTGAGTCCATTGATATTAGGTGATATTAATGACCAGTGGTTGTTAACCCCGGTTATTTATTTATTTATTTTGGTGGTAGTGTTTGTGTGTTTCCTTTCTTTGAGTTGTTTTGGTGGAGGGTTATCAGATGTCTGTGATATAGTGGGTATTGTTGGCTTCCTTGTGTTGAGGTTTACCTTCTAATACTTTCTGTAAGGCTGGGTTTGTGGATACGTATTGCTTAAATCTGTTTTTGTCTTGAAATAAATTGATTTCTCCATTGATGGTTAAAGAAAGCTGACCTGGGTATAGTAGTCTGGGCTTGCATCCATGGTCTCTTAGTGTCTGCAGCACATCTATCCAGGACACTCTGGCTTTCAAGTTCTCCATAGAGAAGTCACATGTAATTTTGCTAGGTTTACCTTTATATGTTACTTGACCTTTTACCTTTGCAGCTCTTAATATTCTTTCTTTATTCTGTATGTTTTGTGTTTTGATTATTTTATGGTGAGGGGATATTTTTTGATTCTTGTTTTTTGATCCAGTATATTTGGTGTTCTCTAAGCTTCTTGTACCTTCATAAGAATATCCTTCTTTAGGTTGGGAAAGTTTTCTTCTATAATTTTGTTGAATATATTTTTGAGCCTTTGAGCTGAAATTCTTCCAATACCAATTTTCTTAACAAATATCAGGTAAAAAGCAGGGTGTGTTTGAAGAGCAAAATAAAAAGTGTTCTTTGTTTCTTTGTGGGATGACAAAATAAGTCTGGTGAGCTATATATTTCTCTTGTCTACCTCTGACTTTTTCCCGACATCTTAGGGAGGCTGCAGTGTCCTTTCCACTCTCCGAGCTCCATCATGCCGCCCAAGGGTGACAACAAGAAGAAAGATGACGGAAAGTCGGCCCAAAAGGACACAGGCCCAGTAAATAAGTCTGGTGGCAAGGCCAAAGGGAAGAAGTGGTCCAAAGGCAAAGTTCAGGGCAGGCTCAACAATCTAGTCCTGTTTGACAAGGCTCCATATGACAAACTCTGTAAGGAAGTTCCTAACTGTAAGCTTATTACTCCAGCTGTGGTCCCTGAGAGACTCAAGGTTCAGGGTTCCTTGGCCAGGGCAGCCCTTCAGGAGCTGCTTAGTAAAGGGCTCATCAAGCTGGTTTCAGAGCTCAGAGCCCAAGTAATTTCCACGAGAAACACAAAGGGTGAGGACGCCCCAGTTGCTGGTGAAGATACATAAATAGGTTCAATTTATTTAGAAAAATAAATTTTTTTATATTTATTTATTTATTTATTATGCATACAATATTCTGTCTGTGTGCAGGCCAGAAGAGGGCACCAGACCTCATTACAGATGGTTGTCAGCCACCATGTGGTTGCTGGGAATTGAACTCAGGACCTTTGGAAGAGCAGGCAATGCTCTTAACCGCTGAGCCATCTCTCCAGCCCGAAAAATAAATTTTTTTTTAAAATAAAAATGCACGTTCTGGGCTGTAGGGATAATCAGAGCCTTCCCTGCAGTGTTGTGTGGGCTCCACGAGAGGGCAGGCATAGAGTTTTACAGGTTGCTCACATTCACCTGGTGTCTAATTAAGGCCAGGAATATCTGACTCAGACATTGATATTCTTCCAAAAAAAAATACTTTTGGACTATTGGCAAAATATGCTGTTTTATTCTAGTCAGCACAGTGTATTTTCCAGTTCAACTTAGTGGTGTAAAGTTTACCCGTTTTATTAAAACCTGGTCTGTTTCCTGCGCTTTGGTGACTTGCTATTCATAATTTTCCTTTAATAAGAAAGGATTCTCACAGTATCCAACCCCCAAGTAAACCAACGACAATAGGAGGTTTTGTACACAGGTATCCCCCTCCCCACCGCACCTCATTCCATCAAAAAATTATACAAATTGACTTTGCTGATTTCCCTACCAGACAGCATGTGACAGGCAAGTTAATAAATCCCTTAAATACAGGAGCTAAGGTTTTGCATGAACTTTGTAAATTTTAAGAATGTATGAGTGTGCTCTCTCCAGTTGTCAAGTCAGCACACAAGTGGCTGTCAATATGGAAAGTTGTTTGTTAAAAGCCTAAAGGCCATCGTCCCTGGGTGGGATTGAACCACCAACCTTTCAGTTAACAGCTGAACGCACTAACCGATTGCTCCACAGAGACAGTGCACAGATGTCTGACAGGTCGCCTTGGTGATCCAGGCGTCACGGCAGCGGCCACACCTGGGATACCCACAGGTCCATGGCGGAGCATCCGGAGCAGGAGGCCTCAAAGCCAAAGGCCCTGCCTCCCGAGTGTCCCGCCAAAGCTTTCCCAGCTCCCGCGAAAGTTTTTAACCTGGATACTCGAGGACGCTGAGACCTGGCCATCACCCGGAGTTCGTGGACTCCATGGACTCCATGCTGGCAGACGCGCGTTCCCGGGGCCCAGCCGGACTCCGGGAAGGAGCCCAAGTCCGCTTTAGGGTCCGGTCCTTTGAGACCCCGAGCACGGACGCGCGAAGATTGGTCACCCCAGGTGTGTGCTGGAACCTCAGTGGGACCCGTGTGGGAAAGGCGGCGAGTGCGGTGCCAGTGCTCAGGGAGTCCGGACGGGATGGAGATGGACGAACTTGACCCGGAGTGGAGAGGGACCGACGGGGGCGAGGGTGGCCTGGCAGTGGGATTGGGAGCTATGAACCGCGGAGACCAGAGGAGGTGGAGCCTGGGGGAGCCCCAGTGTATATCCTAGAGATTTCTTTGAACTGAGCTAATGCAGTTGGAAGCCAATTTAAGTTAGGAAGATAATAAAATGACAAGGGGTGTTTTGTTTTGTTTTGAATGAATCAGAACAATGGCTTTTTGTTTTGTTTTGAATGAATCAGAACAATGGCTTTCTACCAGAGGCTTCTGTCTTTCAGCTAGGGGTGTGCTGGTCCCGAGCCTGCGTCTGGTGTATGTTAAGTGCAGGAATGAATTAAGGAAAGTCTGGAGTCTCAAGCCAAAATTTAGGACATAGTTTCCGACAAGTGCTCCTGAACATTAAGACAAAAACTCCAGACCTGAAGGGATGTTCTCATTAACCCAGGCCATAATTTCCTAAAGATGCCAATTCTAAGGCCGATGTTTTTGTTTTCCTGACAAGGATGGGCAAAAATACAGACTTTTTTTTGGGGGGGGGGGGTTCGAGACAGGGTTTCTCTGTGGCTTTGGAGCCTTTCCTGGAACTAGCTCTGTAGACTTGGCTGTTCTCGAACTCACAGAGATCCGCCTGCCTCTGCCTCCCGAGTGCTGGGATTAAAGGCGTGCAGCAAAAAGAAATACAGAAAAAGAAACATATAAGAAAAAAAAAAGACCTTCCTTTATCCCAATCCTCCTTTTTCCCCAAGTTCCCCCCATTCTCCCCTTCTCCCTTTTCTCTCCCCATCTCCCCTTAACCCCATCCCACCCCACCCCCAAGATCTCAACTTTCTCCCCGGCAATTTTGTCTACTTCCCATAGCCAAGAGGACAACTATATGTTTTTCCTTTGGTTCACCTTCTTACTTAGCTTCTTTGGGATCACCAATTGTAGACTCCGTGACCCTTGTTTATGGCTAGAAACCAATTATGAGTGAGTACATCCCATATTCATCTTTTTGGGTCTGGGTTACCTCACTCAGGATAGTGTTTTCTATTTCCATCCATTTGCATGCAAAATTTGAGAAGTCATTGTTTTTTTACCGCAGCGTAGTACTCTAATGTGTAGATATTCCACACTTTCTTCATCCATTCTTCCATTGAAGGGCATCTAGGTTGTTTCCAGGTTCTGGCTATTACAAATAATACTGCTATGAACATAGTTGAACAAATGCTCTTGTCATATAATAGGGCATCTCTTGGGTATATTCCCAGGAGTGGTATTGCTGGGTCCAGGGGTAGGTTGATCCCGAATTTCCTGAGAAACCGAAACACCGATTTCCAAAGTGGTTGCACAAGATTGCATTCCCACCAGCAATGGATGAGGGTACCCCTTCCTCCACAGCCTCTCCAGCAAAGGCTATCATTGGAGTTTTTTATTTTAGCCATTCTGACAGGTGTAAGATGATATCTCAAAGTTGTTTTGATTTGCATTTCCCTGATCGCTAAGGAGGTTGAGCATGACCTTAAGTGTCTTTTGGCCATTTGAACTTCCTCTGCTGAGAATTCTCTGTTCAGTTCAGTGCCCCATTTTTTAATTGGGTTAATTAGCATTTTAAAGTCTAGTTTCCTGAGTTCTTTATATATTTTGGAGATCAGACCTTTGTCTGTTGTGGGGTTGGTGAAGATCTTCTCCCAGTCAGTAGGTTGCCTTTTTGTCTTGGTGACAGTGTCCTTTGCTTTACAGAAGCTTCTCAGTTTTAGTAGGTCCCATTTATTCAATGTTGCCCTTAATGTCTGTGCTGTTGGGGTTACACATAGGAAGCGATAGGAAGGATTTGGATAAAGGAAGGTTGGATAGGGGAGCACGGAAGCACAATTCTTAGTTAAGGGAACCACCTTAGAGTTGGCAAGAGACTTGAACCTAGAGTGGCTCCCAGATGCCCAAGCCGAGGTCCCCAGTTAGTTCCTTGGGCAGCTGAGGATAGGGAACCTGAAATTACCCTATCCTATAGCAATACTGACAAATATCTTGCATATCATCATAGAACCTTCATCTGGTGATGGATGGAGATAGAGACAGAGACCCACACTGGAGCACTGGACTGAGCTCCCAAGGTCCCAATGAGGAGCAGAAGGAGGGAGAACATGAGCAAAGAAGTCGGGACCACGAGGGGGTCACCCACCCACTGAGAAAGTGGAGCTGATCTATTGGGAGCTCACCAAGGCCAGCTGGACTGTGACTGAAAAAGCATGGGATAAAACTGGACTCTCTGAGCATGGCGAACAATGAGGGCTGATGAGAAGCCAAGGACAATGGCACGGGGTTTTGAACCTACGAAATGTGCTGGCTTTGTGGGAGCCTAGCCAGTTTGGATGTTCACCTTCCTAGAAATGGACGGAGGACCTAGGACTTACCACAGGGCAGGGAACCCTGACTGCTCTTTGGACTGGAGAGGGAGGGGGAGAGGAGTGGGGGGAGGGTGAGAAGGGTGGGAGGAGGGGGAGAAGGGTGGGAGGAGGGGGAGGGAAATGGGAGGCTGGGAGGAGGTGGAAACTTGTTTTATTTTTCTCTCCTTTTCTCAATAAAATAAATGGAAAAAAAAAGAAATTAAAACAGAAAAAAAAAGAAAGGAACGAAGGGAACCAAATATGAGAAAATGGCAGAAGCCGAGACCACAAACGAGGTCGCAAATTAATAAAAATTATGCAGTCAAATTTCCCTAATTTGGGGAAATCACAGGGGCCAGTACAACACTAGTGCAATTCGGTCACCCTCGCCTGAATAAACCAAAGCCCTGTTGACAGTGCTCACTTAGCTGGGTGTGTGCTTTACTTCCCGTAGCCATGACTCAGCCCCACCGGCACTGTGTTTGAATACATGATCACTTGACCGCGCAGACTTCGGTACGTCCCTGGATGCGCACCTGATTCCTGCGCCCCGCTGCCACCCGCGAATCACCGCTCCATTCCATGCTGCACTGGAAATCCCTAGCCTTTCCGCAAAGCCTGTGGATGCAGCATCCCTGCGCGACCCTCATTTGCATATACCGCGCCCCCAACCGGCGCCCAAGGGTGCCAGCACACCCATCCCAATTGTCCTTTTGGCCTGATGGATTTTCTTCCTTGCTGAGAGATGGATGGAGTGTTGCAGGACCAGAGACAAATCATCTTGAATTTTCTCTAACTCACAAATAGCCAATGGCTGCTCACAGCCGTGCACTAACAGCCTTGTCGCTGGTTCGTGTACCCGCAGACCCCTAACTTCTGCCAATAGGAAGTCAGAGAAGCCAGGCAGCAAGAGAGCCAGCACTACAGCAGAGGTCTCCAGCTTCGCTGGAACCTGCCCACCTCATGTCTCCACCACTGCATTTTACAAGGCTCTTGATGTATGGATTTCTCTGTTCTCTTCAACAGAAACACCATGAGACTGACACTACCTTGGGACATGGTATTTGGGGTGACCCCAGTCTGTGTTCCTGGTCCAGGGGATCCACTCTGCCCTCTCAGGGTCTCCTGCATGTGTGTCGTGCACACATACAATCAGGTACAAACACACATACAAAAATAAGTAAGTGCTTTTTTTCTGTGTTGTGTATGTGGGGGATGGGCAGGTGTATGTGTGCCATGACTGGC